GAGGGTCTTTGATTGAAAAAGTGTTCCAAATGATAACTTCTTTTATTGTCAGGCTCATAAATTTACAATATTTTTATCTTAACAGTTAAATAGTAATCGATTTTTGTTTGTTACAAAAACTACAAAAACTTAAAAAAAAGAAAAAAAAACTTTAAAAACTTTCTTATTTCGAAATTTAATAAAAATTTATTATTCTTTAAAAAATATAATTTTTTGAAAAATAATCCTTTAAAAATACGATTATATTTCAAAACAATTTTTAAAAATAATAAAATTAAATTCTTTCGAATAAAAAAATTTACTTCAATGAAATTTGTCAAAAGTTTTAATTGTTTCAATTTTTATAATTATTTTCGAAAATTCGATTATCTTGAAAAAAAAATTTTAATTGTAATTTTTCAAAAACGTAATTTTTTTTTAGAATTTCTACGTTAAATTTTAAATAATTTAAAAATTTCAAAAATTTTTGTTGAACAAATATCTAAGGATTTATTGTTATTTATTTTAATTGAAATTTCAAATAATTTCAATGTAAAACTTTTTAAAATTAATTTATTTCTAAAAATTACAATTGCAATTTTTTCAAAAGTCAATTAATTACATTCACGTCATTTTTTGAATAAAATTATTCAATAGTTTAATAATTTTTTAAGGAAGATAATATATTAATAATTTTTTTTAAACAAATATTTAAATATTATTATAATTTTATGACTATCAAAATATGTTAAAAAGATTTCAATTTAAAAACTTTTTCGGAACTTAATTATTTCTTAAAATTCCTGTTTTATACAACAGGAATTTTAAGAAATAATTAAGTTTCTAAAAAGTCTAATATGTTAAATTATTTTTCAAAATTTTAACTAAAATTCTCTTTTAAATCAATTTTTATTAGAACTCAATGATAATTGAATTATTTAAAATTTAAATACAAATATTTTTGTAAAATTTAGTTGTTTTCCAAATTTTTAGTTACAATTCTTCAAAAAATACAATAATGTTTTAAATTATTTTTTTAAAGAGAGAAGATAAAAATCTTTGAAGTATAAAATTTATTTTAATGCAATTTGAGAAAATGTAATTTGTTTTCAATTTTTATAATTATTTTCAGAAATTCGGTTATATTCAAAAAAATTTTAATCACAATTTTTCAAAAACATAAATTTATTTTAGTATTTCTACATTAAATTATTAAATTTCAATATCTTTTGTTAAACAAATATTTTAAAATTTATTGTTATTCATTTTAATTGAAATTTCAAATAATTTTAATGATCTTTTGAAATTAAATTATATCTAAAAATTACAACTCCAACTTTTACAAAAGACAATTATTTTTTAGAATTTTTGAACGAAATTATTCAAAAATTCAACAATTTTTAAAAGAAGATAATAAATTAATAATTTTTGTAAACAAATATTTAAATATTATTATACTTTTACGGCTATCAAAATTTAAAAAAAAATTTTATCTGAAAAACTTTTAAAATTTAATTATTTCTTAAAGTTTCTGTTATAACGCTTTTAATATTCTATTGTTTTTTTAAATTTGTACTGAAATTATTTTTTTTTAATCAATTCTTATTAGAATTCAACACTGTAATTGAATTATTCAAATACAATAAAGATTTTTGTGAAATTTAATTGTCTTTCCAATTTTTTGTTATAATTCTTAAAAAAAATACATTATTCAAAAATATTTTTTTACAGGGAGAAAGTAAAATCTATTTTAATCCAATTTGAGAAAATTTCCTAATATATTTTTAATTTTTTAAAAATATTTTCGGGAATTCAACTATTTTCAAAAAATTTTAATTACGATTTTTTAAACAGCTCACTTTCTCAGAATTTCTAAATAAAATTTTTCAAAATTTCATTAATTTTTAATTAATAAATATTTAAATACTTATTGTTATTTTGTTGACCAGCAGAAATTAAATTTTCAAAATACACTTTCAAATCTTTTAAAATTCAATTAAAATTAGAACTTCTACTAATTTCTTTTAATTCTTGAAATATTTTCTAAAATTTTGATTGAAATTCTTTTTCAAATCAATTCTTATCAAAAAGTTGAATGAGAATTTAATTATTTAAATACAATAATAATTGCGTTTAAATAATATGTCTAAAGTTTTGAACGTTGAAATGAACGAAAACTTTTTCCCTTTCGATATTTTTCAATATCTTTTAATGAAAAATAAAAAACAAATGTATTAAAAAAATAATTTATCTTCTAATTTGTAAATTAATATTTTCTACCAAAGTTCAAATTTCAAAAGAAGTTACAAAAAAAAATTCGTTCATTTGAACGTTCAGAACTTTAGGGACAAAATATAATTGATTATTTCTAAAAATTATACTTACATATATTTTACTTATTTTCCTGTCCTGTGAAAATTCTCTTATTGTCAAAATTCTAGTTATTGAGTTAATTTCTTTCTCGATTATTATTATATAATATTAATGTATTAATAATTAAATTTTTTTTGAATTTCGCGCCAAAAAAGTTCTTTAAATTGCCGCCTAGATGGCATGAAAATTCTCTCGTAAACAAAATAAAACGAATGGAGTATATAAAAAAAATTTTTGCTTAAAAATAAATTTAATCTAAAATAGTGTAATTCTTTGTGCTAATACAAAATCGTTTTGTTTCAGTAATACAATGAAGAATATTATAAAATACATTAACAAATAAATGGTAAAAAAATTCATAAACTACAGGATAGGTTTACAGTAAAAAATAATCTATTTTCTTCCAATATTTCTTGTTTTATTATTCTTTGCTTTAGTAATGCAATAATAGAATTTAAAAAAAGATAAATATTTATTTAAATATAAACGTATATATTTTATATTTTTTTTTATTTCGATATTATTTTCGATTTCGACTTTATATATTTCATGAAATTGAATATAAATAGGTATATAGATTTATTGAAAAAGTCACTTCAGTACCAATACTTGACAAAGGTGACTGGTGACCTGTGTCCAGATCAAGATTAGAGGTGGTCATATAAATCATAGCAGTAGCATCAAGCTTGAATGTTATCTGTGACTTCCGGTTGGTTGCACAGCCATTTCACACGTTTTCCAGTAGAATATTCTATAGGGTTGATGACGTACATAAGTACTGTATGTATGCGCTATTTTCTGAAAGCATATGCCGGCCGCTGTCCACCCCATTTATTTTGCAATGTCATCGTCCAATCCGCGAGTGACTGTGGAGGGACCTAATCTCTTCTTCTTCTTCTCCTCCTACTCTTGTATTTCGCTACAAAAATGATATGGTTTATGTCTTTATCGTGTACCGCGATATGTGCGCTCAATATTCTTTTCAGAAAAAAAAATTACATATATCGTTTTATAGTTTTCTTTTTTAAAAATTATTTATTGAAAGAAATTGTTCAAATTTGTGAAAAAATGTAATTGGAAACTTTAATTTTTAGAGCGACTTGCAATATTTAAAAACTCGAAATAAAAATTCAGAAAACTCGAGAATCGATTCTCGAGTTTTCTGAATTTTTATTTCGAGTTTTTAAATATTGCGATAGTGGCTCTGTGGTTAGAGTGCTTGACCGTCAGCAAGGAAGGGTGGAGTGTTCGATTTCTACCAAAATCATTTTCGCAATACACTTTTTTTCGAGTTTCTTCTTTTTTGGTTACAAAATTTAAACAGAACCTCATAATTAAAAATCAGTTCGTCACCTTTTTACCTTCTTTACTTATTTTACCAGCTATTTTTGATAATTTCTACCTTTTTAACCTTTTTTCATAATTCGATAAAGAATGCAGTAGTACATTTCAAAAATGGAATCAGACGGAAATTTATATTTTAAGAAAAAGAATTATCCTCTTTGGTGAAAAATAATTGTCTCATGGATAAAGTAATTCTGCGTCTATATAAGGGAGAATCTAGTTTGGCGTTTAATTAATTAAAATTAATTGGCGCTCTTTAACGCTTAGACCTTTGTGTATGTATACGATAATCCTAGAAGTGTTATTAATTTTTATTAGCAATTCAAGTTAATGGGGCTCCTCGAAAAGTTTCCTTGCCTTTTCGATCCAGTGGATGCCCTCAGGAAATCTAAACCGGTAACAACATGGCCGCTCGGAAACGGAAGTCGGAAGCGCGTCACTCAAACTGCGGACTCTTCCGGTGCTCCATGGAAAAGGGAAGGTTGCGAATTTTTCGTTCAAGCCATGCGAGACGAGACGAGAAATTCCGTTTCTTTCATTCACCTCTGAGAGATTTTTTCTGTTTGCTATTTTTTTATTGATCGTCTCTCTTTAAAATTCAAAAAGAAGAGAAGAAGATTAAAAAATTTTTTAATTTTTCAAGTACTTATTTTATATGATAATTTAATTTAAATGAAATTATTTCTAAAATATCTAAAAAAAATGTCTAAAATCTATCTAAAAAGATTAAAACGATATTCTAAAATTTTTATACTTTTTGGTATCAATTTGATACTTTTAAAAAAACTATGCGATTCAAAAATTTCAAAAGTCAATTTTGTTGATAACATAAAATTGTTTTAATGAAAATTTAATTTGAGGAAAAATTAATAAATCCCATTGGAAGTTAAAATATAGAATCTATTTTATTCTCAATCGTATATGTTTTAAAGGATAAGTTTTGGAGGAATTTGTAGAGGAAAACAAAAATAATGCGAATGATAAAAATTATAATTTTTCAATGAATCTGATTTATTAAATATGCGTCTGATATATTAGTTCACTATAGATATTATACACAATGTACATATTTACAAGTTTTAATAATACGAATTAAATTAAGATTCACGGCATAAGAACCCTTTTTGCTTTTTCTACAATAACACTACACACTCTCATCTTCTTTTTTCTCTCTTAAATATACATAAACTACAATTTTTACCGGAAAAATGATTTTTTAAAATCATTTTTAAGTTTTTTTTTTAAATTATAAATCATTAATCACATTTTTTTCAAATCTGAATTATTCTATTTTTTCTTTTTGGATTATTTTTTTTTTGCATGAGGAAGAGTATTTTATATTTAATTATACATTTTTTTGATCTTTATTTCGGTATTGTTATTGAAAATTGCTGTTTGATTAATGACCTATAATTTTAGAAAATTTAATGACTTCCGGTTTTTTGCACAGTGGGATTTCTTTGAAATCCGTATGAAAACATGTTTTCATTTTTTTAAGTGAGAAAAAGATGCGTCATTGATGATCGAAGTAAAATATTTACACACCGTCGACACCCACAATTTGCTTCGATTTTTCTTTTGGTCGCGTGACATCGCTAATGGAAAAAATTTTTTAAAGACGTACGTGCTACGTCACTTTCGAATTAATAGATAGGTTTGGGTATTTATTTATAGGCAGACGCAAATATAAAAGATTCTGTTTTCTTATACAATATATAGTATTTTTCGATTTTTATAGAGAATTTATTTACATTATAGAATAGCAATAGTGTCACGTTGTATAAAATTACAAACAAATAATTTTACCAAAAAGGACGTAGAATGTAAATTGAAATTCTTTGTTTTGTTTTTAAATTGTTTTAGTTTTTTTTAGTATTTTTTAAGTATTTTTCAAGTATTTTAGGTTTATTATTTGTGTAGCTACTATTTTGTTTGACTGTTCATTTTATGTAAACAAAATGATTCATTTATTCAATTTACCGAGTCCTTTTTGCTAAAGTTAGTTTGGTACGAAACAAGTTTGGAATTGAAGAAGGAAGTTCTCTTTTCGAACATAACAGAATCTTTTACTCTAACATAGTATAAAATTCAGCAGTAAGATTTCCGATAAAAGTCAGTGGTATAGACGAAAGTTGCTCATAAAAAGAGTTTTCAGGACCTAAACTGACATTTTAAGGCTTTTCCCCGTTCAACAAAAGGAACACAATGTGCAATGCTTTATTTTTCTTTGGTGTCTCAAATTCTCCGACAAACACATCCTGTACATTTCGCAATTCAATTTAGGTCAATTTTTATTTTCATTACAAAATTTCGTCAATTTTCAAATAAGTAAAAGTTGCTTTACAACAATTGAATACATAATCATTTGAGATGTTGGAGAATGGGAAAAGTTTTCAAATTTACTATATATTCCATCAGTGAGATCAATCGTAAAAAAATCAATACTTGAAATATTCTGTAAGTGATGGTCAAATTTGATATACAGAGTGAAAAAAAAGCATTAAGAAAAAAAAGAAGCCGACGAATTTTTAAATTACATTCAACAATGTGAAAAACTCACGAGATTCTGCTACCTATTTAGGCATAATTAACCTCTTTTTTTATGTGTGTATAGATATGAGGTGTATGCCTTATTTTCTACTTAGTTCATCAAGCACTAATAATACATGTGAGAGTCATCATATTGAGCCTAAAAAATTTCTAAACTGGGACACACTGGATATTAAAGAACGTCAGAAACCTCGATTCAATCGAGAAACGAACCCGACGTCTTTCTATTATTTGCACCGAATTACTCTTGTTTTTCTTCGCAGTGGGCGCCACGACGCGAACTTGACACTTATATCAATTTACAAATAGCACTTTTTTTCAATTTTCTTTTTTTTACAAAAATTTTCAACTCTATTAATTTGATAATTTAAAAAGTGGAATAAGAAGTGTGGATAATGAGAAATACAGTAAAAATACTCTTTTGCCGTTATTGCGATTCTGATTACAATTCATCAGATTTTAAAAATATTGCAAACTTTCCAATGAAACCGAGGTTCAAGTAAATGTTCGAATATTAACCTCTCTACTCTATTTGACATAGAATGGCGATAGACTCGCAAGCGTCAAAAATGACATGGTCGTTAGTATCAGCAGAGGATTAATTAAGTCATCAGATGGAAATATTGACTTGTGATGACTTATTGATGTTTATAAATTGTTTCTTAAGAATAAAGGAACGTGGTCAGTAACTATTCGATCAAAGTTGGTCAACACACTTGATCAAATTCAATTGAACATAAGTATTAGCTTCTTATTCCACATTGTTTGAACAGCACGATTTTTATCACAATCCGAAAACTACCACCACCGGTGCATGTAGGAGTGCATGGGCAAACCGTTTGGCGTGGCATAAACGGCGGCATTAGCGGAGGCTGCAGCAGCGGCGACTGCGGCGGCGGTCGAACACGGTTCGAGGAGTTTTGACTGACAGGGCTTTCCATCCCGGACCAGAACTGGAACGGCTACTCTTCTTGGCGAACAATCCAATCTATTGCCAGCAGCCTCGACTCTCTCGGTTGCTGCTCTTTTCGTCTTGTACCTATGATTTTGGAACCAGATTTTCACTTGTGTGGGTGTGAGTCGAATAATCGAGGCTAAATGTTCCCTTTCCGGTGCACTGAGGTACCTCTGTTGTCGGAATCTTCTTTCCAGTTCGTAAGTTTGTGCCTTGGAGAAAAGAACTCGTCTCTTTCTCTTTTTATGCTCAGCTTCCTCCTCGGCCATTTCTTGAGATCGACGCTGACGTGGACTTTTCAATTTCGAGTCGTCGGAGTCTTTATTCTTTTTCTTCTCCTCGCGACTCTCGTCGTCGTCCTCGTCATCATCCTCATCCTCCTCGAGTTCCTCTTCTTGAAGTTCGTCTTCCTCTTTGCAGCCCGGAAGATTATTTTCCCGTTGGCTTGGATATGAGAGGTCTGAAATCGTCGGACTGGTCGAGTCTGGTTGTTGGAGGGCTGAAAGCAGAAAAAAACTTTTATTTAGACTAAGCTATTAGATCATAAAAATTTAGGTAAAATAAACTTTCTATGTGATAACGGAACGTAAACAATTTGTTGAAATCGTTGATTGAAAAGCAAACAAATTGAATTTGAATCAACTTGAGTATATAAGGGATCAACTTTTGGGGTATTGGAAATGCCTGATAATTACGAGAATGAATCGACTCATTTTTCTTTTTTAAGTGACGTGCAGTAATTAGTATACAGAGAATGTTGGAAGAAGAGATTTAGAACAAGACCCCCATGGCAATGACGTGGTCGATGAGTAACCCTAAATTTTATTATGAAGAGTGTGCAGCTGCACTTCTAAAAAGTCTAGGATTATCGACACCTTCATAATTATTACTAAATTTTGTCGAGAGCAGATGTATACCTTTAAATCAATATATTAAACTCTTCAAAACTTTTTAAATCCCCTCCGCTTTTCTAATTGCCACCAACAGTCTTTTTCCGCAGATTTCTTAAATGTATTTTTTAATCTTTTGGGTTGTGATTTACATTCGTCATTGTATTCAGAAGAGTTGAGAAAAGTTCGACTCCTTTCAGAGCAGGTGTTAGAAAAAGTATATTTATTAATATAATTATTTTTATAGATAAAAATATATATGAAGAGACAAAGGAAATATTATTGGGACGAAAAAAGCGGTTAGTTAACATCAAACATCACAAGTAAAACCCCCGTGAATTGCAACCCCCCTCTAGAATTTAACCAGCAGAATAGCAGATCAAAACCGAGTACGGATGCTGTGGATGAAAAGAGCTATTTCAAACATTTAATGTTGGACGATGTATCGTGGGTTTCGTTCTCGAATGATACAATACGCTTTTGGGAACGATGCTCGACCCCTAAACTTGAGGAGGGTGTGAACTAATATAAAGCCCATTTGATATCTACACGACCCCATGCTAAGGACTTATGGAGAATCAAAAGTATCGTTTTCATGGGAGATTACTCTGCACCAACAGTCACTCTGTGATTTCAATTAGGAACTTGCTCAACAATCAGCGATTCGACTAATTTCTAATTCTGTTATCTTTAATGTATTTATTGTGCCGCAGAGGGTTTGCTAGATTTTATAAACATGGTCAAAAGTATCGAAATTTTGAGGGTTTTAAATATTTTTGTCGTTCGCCATATATGGTTTCCTAAATTGTAACCATAGTCAAAATATAGAAATTTTAGGATTTAAACTACTTTTCCCGTTGTTATAAAAGTCGACAACTGCAATAAAAGATATAGTGATAGAGCAGTTGGACGATAAATTTTTAAAAGTCGAAAAGCAGCACAAAAGTCTTAAAGCCTTTTCATAAACATTGTGTAACAGCGCACAATGTGATATCATACTCGGGCAATTTGTCAATTTATATAGAAAACGTCCCCCAAAAAAACGGAATTCGAATGATTCTCGAATTAATGATACATAGCAAAGCGGCGGCAAGAATTAAGCGTGAAAAATAGCTTCAATAAAACTTGGAAACGTCCAATTTAAAAGGAACCAATCCATTGAAATCTTGTTAAGAAGTTTTCCAGCAACACTAATTCTGTTTAAAACTCGAGGCAAGTCAGTAGTTTATCCCATACAATAAAGTTTGGAAAGTTTAAAAAAGATAAAAAAAAGGTCCGGATGCGACAATCTGTCTAGTGCAATAGCGCACACGCTATACCCTAATTCTTTAAAGTGTAAAGTGGAAAGTCTAATAAAGAAGGAATAAGGATGAGGAAGAGAAAAAAATGGGTGGCCTTATAAATTTGTAACAATACGCTTCTGGGCGTGACAGAAATTCAATTCATTGAAAAGCTGCGGTCGAATCTTAGCTACATGGGCACGCATCTGTCCCCGCACTAGATCAGAGGACATCTGTTCCTTTTGGCAACCAATCGCCATCAGAACACGAGGATCTTTTATAGACCTATTAGATCCTGCTTAGCCGACACGGACCAATTGGAGGGTGCTAAATAAATAAGGGTTGCTTGAAACCTATCCCCGGCGACCAGTTTACCGCGACCTTAGAGTGAGAGGGGAAGAAAGAAAACCCCTGTGTGTGTGTTTCTCTTTAGGAAAAACGAAGGTTGTTTGATATTGGGCAACGCGCGCCTAAAGAATTTGTATATTTTTGCTTCGCTCTTGACTCTTAACTCATTGTCACATCCGGTTTTGTACATTTCGATTGCCTCCTTGTAAAATTTATTACCAGTGGATTTTTATGAAAATACGAAAATTCTTTTAGTTCGTACCGAAAAAATTCTTCTTTTTGATAAATATTTTAGGCTTTAGGAATTGTCGCCTCTCTTTTTTTGTCATCATAAGCATTTTTAGTGTACAAATAAAATTTCTTTTTTCACCAGAGGAATTAGATCTAAATTGAATTAGCATGAAGAAAGGAATATTCTTGCTTCTTTTGAAGGACCAGTTTCTTTGGTATTTCTAAATCTTTCTGCTTGTTGGCGCATTAGAAGTGGAATTTTAATCTGGATTTTAGCAAATAGTTTAGTTTGCTGACAAAAGGGACGAAGCTTTTGATTTCTGATTTAAATTTCAAGTTTGAATGAAAGTTTCCAATTCCATTAATTTTCTCAATCATGATTATACGAGCGCAACAATGATTATGAAAGAAGAAATGGTATATACGAAAGAAGAAAAAGATTTAAGTAAAGAAAAATAAGAGACTTACCACCAACTTCGTCCATTGACTGAGGTAAAGAGGAGGGTAAATTGGGAACAACTGGATTGTGCCAGCATCCCAGCAAACCTCCCGGAGGGGCTCCAGGGGCTGTTGGTCCAGAAACCCTGTTTAAGTTAAAATTCGTCCCGTGCACCGGAACCGACGGATGAAGCATCGCCGCATCCAAAAGTTGCTGATAGGCAAAGGGTATTTCGCTCATGGACGATAAAACCGTTGTTCCGTCTGGAAATAAAGAAAATTGACTTTTAAAAAACCGAAGCGAATTTATTAATTAATCTTTATAATGAAGCTTACGGACTGTTTTCAAAAAACCGAAAACTACAGATTTTTTCGTTCGTCGAATTTTAATCAAAATTCTTAAATTTTTAATCTAAATTTCTGCGACAGTAATTTAACTTTGCAGAATATAAAAGATACTTTGTTTTATATAAATTTAAAGATAAATTATTTCAAAGGATTGAATTCTTAAGAAACTTATTAATTCTTATTAAGGTTAAATACAACATCACTTACTTTGCACATCGGTTTCTTCCGGCGCTGGTTTCGTGTCATTTGATCCTAAAATATCACTAATATGGAACCCAGTTCTTGGAGGCATTTTTATACTTTCCTGCAGCAATCTGCAACATAAATTCATTCAAAAATTAGACTTTCAAGTGAAAAATGTAAATCAGGTTCTTTGAGCAAAGCAATCAAAATTAATTCCCTACAGCTAAAAATATTAAATCTCATATTACAGTTTTTCTGCAGATAACAAATTGAGACAAAAAGCGAATCAAAAACGTTGCACCGCAACACTTTTGATTCCCTTTTTGTCTCAATTTGACATCTGCAGAAAACTTCTGATCTTTAATGACAGTTTAAAGTTTCCCAATTTCTATGTTTATTCAAATACTATATAGAACTCCAAGTTTTCGGTTAATAATCCAAAATTAACAAAAGAAATAATCATTTCAAAGGTTTAAATACCCATTTTCTCATCCCTTTTGCTTTTTTTTTGACGAAAGTTTAAAATGGTAAAGTTTCTTGAGTGAACCTGTAATTGGATCTAGTTTCGCTTTTCGTTTATTATTTCAGCCGTTTCACGTAAAGTTTGCCGGAGCGAATACAATGCGATTAAAGTTGGAAGGACCTGCAATCCAATTTTGAAAGTATACCTCTCTCTTTCTCACCGGAAAATGGTTTGGAGATGAGTTTGATGGTTTAAAGGTGTGACACTTGGTCAAGAAGCCACCAGAGTATTTCTTTGAATATGACGATTAAAATATGTGAGCGGTGGGTCCTTTTTGGAAAAGCCGATATTCGAACGGCACGTAGAGGGTCACCTGCTTTGCAACCTTGGTCCCTTAAACAACCTGCCAATTCTTGAACAACTTTCCGACAAAACCAAATTTCAAGCCTTGAAAACCGTAAGCTAAACGCGCTATTATCGTGGCACGTACAGCCACACGCTTCCACTATTCTTCCCGTCGCTCATCCGCAACAACCCAACTAGTCCATAAGAATTTTGTCGCTAAATAGGTATTATCTCCAGTTCCTTTAAATTTTTATAAAGAGGGGTGGGGGGGGGAGAAAAAAGGATTCTTGGAATTAACGTGATTTTTACATTTTTCTCTGGTTTAGTAGTCTTATTTAAATCGCGTGGTTTTGTTACATTTTTGGTTTTTGTTTGGGTTTTTTTAGGAGGTGCGGTGGTGTATATTAAAATCATGAATATTCGATTTATTCATTTGTTCATTCAGGATGAATGAATGTTTTTCTGAATTTAGGAAGTTGTCGTTTTTTTCGGACCAGGATGCTTGACATGTTCCAAATTAAGGTTCTTTTCTTTCCCTTCCTTTGGTTATATTTTGCCCTTTTGAATAGCAGGTATATATAGACCCAGAGCTCTTTTTACGAAGTGTAGATGTCAATAAAAATTTAATGAACTTTTGCTTGTTTCTTCGATTGAAAGTTAATTCTTTTTTGGTTCATTGAAAATTAATTGAATTGACACCAAAAATTAGCATCAAATTATGATTTTAACTGCATTTTTGGTAATAATTTATTTGCAACGCCTTTATTTATAATTAAATTAGAATCATTACTTCAGATTTGGAGAGTAAAGTTTGTAAAAATGGAACAATGACGAAATTTAGTAGTATAAATAATTTAATGTTAAATAATTGAATCGAATCTACTTTAATTAATTATTAATAAAGAAACAATTGTTCCTTTTGTGTAAATATTTTATCGTTTTTCTAAACAATATTTTTATTATTTGATCTCTTTGCACAACGTATAAAATTATCATTAAGTTTATTAACAATAAAATAAAAACAAAAATTTGCCTTTATTTTAGAGTTATTAATAAAAAAAAAACAATGATATCGAAAATTCCCACATAACCAAGCATCGGAATCACCAAAATATATCTTAATGGGGGAAAATGTCGGAGGGTTTAAATCTCCGAAAGCTATATAGGTTTTGGAGATGTCATCAATAATGGATTACTAAGCAATACACATATTGTTTTGATGATAATGCGTTTTGACACAAACATATACTTAAAGTGTTAATTATCTAAATTCCATGAACTTCTATCAAAATAGTTTCGTAGTTTTCTTACAAGTATTAAATTTATTTACTATAAAGTGATGGATCAAATTGATGTCAAAAATTTGGATAAATTTTTTATTTGATTTTTGGCAATTTGATGCCAAAAATTTGGATCAGTTTTTTATTTGAGCCATATTTTTGGTATCAATTCGTTGCAATTTGATACTTTTGAGTTAACAGTGTTTTATTAGATTTGTTCCTATTCAAGTTATTTACTTTAATTAAAAATATTTAGAAACAAGATTTTTATCTCCAATATAAATTTTGTGTTTTGATTAGAAATATATATATCTTCGAGTGAAAATCTCGCCAATCAAATCTTTTTACGTTCACGTTCACGTGGAAGGTATAATATTTTCAAAAGAAAAATTGTGTCGATCAACAATTATTGTATATGTTGAAAAAAAGTTATGATAAGGGATAGGCAACATGATAAGATGAAGTGATCTATCTTGATCCACGTGTAAAGAAATATTTCGTATAGTCCTGTGATATAGTATAATGTAGAAATTTGACATTATTTCAAAATTTATTTCATGAATTTTGAAATAATTTTCATAAACTAATTTATTTTCACAAATTTCCATTTTAGTTTCAAATAATCTTCATTGCTCTATCATAATTGTATAACTGATTTTTATTTAGTGAAAATCACTAAGCTTAAATGTATTTATAAATAATCTGTCAAATCAGTGTTAACATAACAAAGTATTTGGTTATAATTATACGCTTTCTGTATTTTTAATTTTTTAAATTTGGTACTAAAATTGTACTATAAATGAGTACTTTTTTTTACAGAAAGTATATCAAAGTGCATCGGATGATACTAAATGGATAAAATCCTAATTCGATTCAAAGTTTTTCTGTCAATTTGACCCAATTTGGTAATGATCTAATTTTATTGTACCCCTACAGCATCTAAATTTGCAGCAACATTCACAATTTTGCCTCAATTCCTTAAAACTTTTGTAGCATTGTCTGTTATAATAGTTGCTGCAACTGTTGCTACAAGTTTAGATGCAGTAGCAGCATTAATTTTCGATTTAGTTTGATTTAGTAAAGTTTGATTTATAGTGTCAAGATGTTTTCATATACAGAAGAAGAATTCAATTATTCCGATAAGAAAAAACTCAAAATTGTGACATAAAACAAAAGTCTTGAATAGGAATACTTATACAATAAGAATAATAAGTTCGAATAAAAAAGTTGGAATAAAAAATAGTTCGACTAAGAAAATAGAAAGACAATGAAATCAAAATATCCGAAGTGCAATAAATTACCTAGATTTAAGAAGCTGTTGACTATACCAAACGTGATTGAGTTGATAGGGCAACCACCACGGCACTATTTTATTCTTGTCCGCCATTTTCAAAAGGTCCATTATCAGAAATACTGTCTCCTGTATTCTGTTTGTGTCAGTACATTATCCACTAAAAGCACTCTTTTTTTCGAAAAACAAAAAGAAACGGCACTTTCAATCACTGCAGCACTTATTTATATATACTCGAATATAGTAAATCCAACACTCGAATATCACTTTTTCCCAAAAATTGAAAATACAATTATCCAAATTATTCAACTAATATTCACACTTTTACTAAGTCTTACTAATTTTCTCCTTTTTTGCAAAATTTGTCCTTTCACAAAAAGTACAGATATTTCTCAACAGAAAATATTTGTTATATAAACTTTGGTAAATTTGAACTGTTGAAGTTTAAAGGACGAAGGACCCAGAGTTGTAGTTTTTGAGTGTCCTCGACGAACACTTGACAACTAGTGTTCCCTACCTCTGTGCCGTTTGAGTTTTCAAGCACCCTTGACGCCGAGGGCGGTTCTTCCAGGGGCGGGATTTGAAAGTTACCCATTGCACTCAAAGTGTGGAAAAGTTACGGAAATTTCCCTTTGGCCGGCGCATCCAAAAGCGATGCGAGGGTTGTGCCTCCACCCTCTCTTGGGGCTCAGACTTGGAGGGGGGATGGAGAGAGAGGGTGTTTGAGGATAGTGAGTTTTCAAGCCCCGTTATTCCTCGTTCTATACGATTTTTCTTTATTTCTCTCTGTCGAGAAAGTCGAGGTACTTTAGACTTAGAGGGCGATTTAAGAAGGCAGTTTACGCTCTGCAGTTCAAGTCGGGTTTTTCTTTTTTCTTTTTTGCTTTCCATTTAATTCGATGAAGAGCTGCGCTATTTTCATTAGAAACTTTTTAAGACCTGAATTTATATTTTAAGTTTATTTCAACATGCTTATTATGTTGTGATTAAATGTTTTTTTTATGTATGAATCTTAATAATGGTTTTTATGAAAATTGTGATGTTCAAAGTAAAAACCTATAGTAAGTCGCATTTGCCGTAAGGTAAATACTATATAGGTTTTTACTTTGGACAGGAATTACACTTGTGATTCTGTACACTGAGAGAAATGGATAGTCAGATTTTGATGTTAAAAAGATGATGTTACACGATACTATCATTATGCTACTGCCAACCATCACAGATGCTAAAAAAATATAGTTATGCTACCCCGTACTACCAAGATGTTACTCCTGATGATATTGATGGTAACGGTGACTATCTAGATAGCTATCTGTATACGTAGCATTAAAGATGGTCACCCTAACCACAATTATGTTACCCACTACTATAAATTTCTCTCCGTGTAATGTAATTTTTATTTACCGAAATCTTTTCTTAGAAATTTACAAAACATTTAATAATTAAATGTAAATTGGAGACATACTAGAAATCAAAAAACTATTCTCAAAAATTATAATCAAATTCTTTAGAACGATTCAATTATTTTCAAAAATATTCGAAATTCAATTATTTTCCATGTCTAGTATTTTCATAAAATTTCGCAAAAGAATTCAATTATTTTTAAAAAAATGATAAAATTCATCCAAAATTCAATTATTTTCATAAATAATAAAAGTTCCACAGGAATTCAATTAATTTAGAATAGCAAAAAATTTTTGAAAAAATATAAATAAACTTTCATTTATATAATAACTTTTTCCATGGAAATTCAATTTTTTAAAAAAATTTTTGATAAAATTCTAAGCAAGAATTCAATTATTTTCATAAATAATAAAATTCTTCTCAGAAATTCAATTATTTTTGAAAATTTTAATAAAATTGTTCGAAAAAAGTAAAATATTTTAAATATATAATTTTAATTAAATTCTTTTGAAATAATTCAAATCATTCTTTTTGATTTTAAATTTTTCCCAGGAATTCAATTATTTACATAAATTATTATTCGAAAGAATTCAATTATTATAAAAGATAAATAACAAAATTATTTTAGAAAATTCAATTATTCTGGGGCATTTTAATAAAATACTTTGCAAAATTCAATTATTTCCAATAAATAACAATATTTATCACAAGAATTCAATTATATTTATAAGTAATAAATTTCTTCTAGAAAATTCAATTATTTTTAAAACTTCTATAAAAAAATTGTTCGCAAGAATTCAATTATTTTCATAAATAATAAAATGCTATTTAGGATTTAAATTATTTTCAAAAAAATTTAATAAAATTTCGTCTTAAGAATTGAGGTATTTTCATTAATAATAAACTTTTTCGCATTCCTATGCGAATTAAATTAAACAAATTTAATTTCTAATTTTCTTAAATAATAAAAATATTGACAAAAATTCAATTTTTTATAAAATTTCTGGAATAAATTCAATTATTTCTTAAATTTTAATAAAATTCTTTGCATAAATTCAATTATTTTCAAAAATTTTAATAAAATTCTTCTCAAGTATTATTTTTATGAATAAAAAAAATATTAACAGGAATTTAATTTTTTTGAAAACAAATTTTCATAAAATTTCTTGAAAAATTTTAATTATTTAATAAATTTTAATAAAATGTTTCGCATAAATTTAATTATTTTCAAAAATTTTAATAAAATTCTTCTCAAGAATTGTATTATTTTCATAAATAATAAAAACATTGACAGGAATTTAAATTTTTCAATACAATTTTCATAAAATTTTTATAAAGAATTTAATTATTTTTTAAATTATTAATAAAATTTCTCGAAAGAAATCAATTAATTTTAAAGATTTTAATAAAATTTTTTAAAATAATTTTATCTTCATCAAAACTTTAATAAAATTTTTTGCAAAAGTTTAATTATTTTCATAAATAATAAAGTTTTTCGCAGAAGTTCAATTATTTTCAAAAATTTTTTAAAAATACTTCTCAAGAATTCAATTATTTAAATTTGAATTTGCATAAAATTAGTCGAAAGAAATAAATTATTCAGAAGAATTGAAATTGAAAGAATTGAATTGTTTTTATAAATAATTAAATTATTTTATGAAGAATAAAATTTGTTTGCAGAAATTTAATTTTTTAACAGGATAAGAAAGAACTAAATATTTTTTATGAAAATTAGGGAAAAGTCATCAGGAAAATAAATTAAAATTGAATTTTTGACAGTGTAAATTGTTTATAAGAAGGAGTCTTTTTGGTCGTCAGGTTTAATTTTTTGATAGAAACTTTTTTACTACTTTTTTAGTTTGAAAGCTACTTTTTAAAATTAATTATCGAGTGCGAAGTCTGAAATAAGAATAAAATGCTTCAAAAATAACAATTTTGACAAAAATTTTGGAAACGTTTCTTAACAAACTTTGGGTTTGATTTCCTAACTTTTCTTCAAAAATTCATTGTATTAGGAAATTTTTTCCATTGTATGAAACAAATTCCAATTTTTTTTATTGTTATTATTATAATTGTATTCCTCGCAAGAATTAAATTATTTTTATACAAATTTATTTATTATTATTTATTATTTTATATAAAATAATAATAACCATACAATTGTGACTTGTGGTTATCAAAAAATATTCTCAGTAAAATTTTTCTTTTACGGAGTTGAGGGCACATTTTACTGAGAATATTTTTTTAACACTCTGTATATATACGGATTTTCAATGCATGTTTATGTGAATATTTGTTTGCATAATGTGAACATAAAAAGAATAAAAGATATCTCATATAGCCGCGAGGAAGAAGCAGAGGGGGCACTTATTGAGAAGAGCATCAGGTATATAAGCGAGAAGAAGAAGAAGAAGAAAGAAGTGGAAACTGGTAAAGTTTCCTGCTTGCCAAGAGAACATGGGTGGAGCTTAATATTTTCAAGTCCATAGGGGCGGAAACAACCCTCGAATGGTAACCAGTACGAAATTCCAATTTAGAAACGACCAAACCCCTATGCGAGGGCAAATGAACCAATCCAGTCGCTTCATCGATCAGTGTTTTTTACCCCCAGGGAACACTTTATTAGGAGTCTAGCTTTAATGCGCAAAAGCATTAGTGGTGCTTTTACCGTGTCACTTTGGCTTTCCACTCACTCCACTTTTTTCCACTCTCATTCTTTTTTCATTATTTCCCTTTTTTTATATCTATACAGATCTCACTCGGTCGATAAGGGGCGAAAGTGGGTTGAAAGGTGTACTATTGTCCAAAGAGAAACTGATACTTACCTGTGCTTCTTATTTGCAATTTGCATATTGTGGATGTGATGATTTATTTTTCAGATATAAGGTTCAAATGATGTTTAGGTTTTTTATTTGTTCCTGGTTATTTCTACTTGTTATTTGTATATGTGCGCGCATAGTTTTTCTGCAGATATCAAATTGAAACAAAAAACGAATCAAAATGTTTCTTCGCAACACTTTTGATTCGCTTTTTGTCTCAATTTGCGATATCTACAGAAAAATTGTGTTAAGATAAGATAGCGGATTCGATTGAAGTTAAATAAGATTGTTTTGTCAATTGCAACGGATTGATACCAAAAATGTGGATCAAATCAAAAGTTGATCCAAAATTTTTTGCATCAATTTGATTTATTTTAGTAGGTATCAATTTGATATACTTTCAAGAAAACTGTGTTCTGAATTTCTAAAGAAAACATACTTTTTGGAAGTTCTGGGCCCATTTTTATGATAATTTTCACTAACTTCTTTCAATAAATATTACTTCCATAAATGTTACTAGTTCAGAAGAAAATTTTAGCAAATTTTATGGTAAAAAGTACTTCGAATGTATACAAAATTTTATTTTGTCTGAATGTTAAAAAATCTTTATTTCAGAGGCTTCGCATACTATAACCTACTAATTACTGTACTATTTTTACGTTATGCTACTATTTGGGTACTTTTTTTAAATTTCAGCCACCAAAAGCTACAATTTCTGATTTTTTTATAATTTCCACTATACTTTAAATTATAGCTAATACTAGAAATAAAAAAAATATTCTCAAAAAAATATAATCAAATTCTTTAAAACGATTCAATTATTTTCAAAAAATTTTCGAAATTCAATTATTTTTAATATTTAGTATTTTCATAAAATTTCGCAAAAGAATTCAATTATTTAAAAAAAACAATTCATAAAATTCATCCAAAATTCAATTATTTTCATTAATAATAAAATTTCCACAGAAATTGAATTAATATAGAATAGCATTTTCAAAAAATTTTGAAAAAATCAATTATTTAAGAAAATTTTTATACAATTCTTTACAATAATTCAATTACTAACACTAATTGACTAATCATAACATTTTTCATAGAAATTAAATTTTTTTTTTAAAATTTTGATAAAATTCTCAGCAAGAAATTAACCATTTTCATAAATAATAAAATTCTTCTCTGGAATTCAATTATTTTTGAAAATTTTAATAAAATTCTTTGCAACTATTCAATTATTTTCATAAATAATAAAATTCATTCCAGGATTTTAATTATTTTTAATACAATTTCTGCAGGAGTTGCTTAAAAAATGTATTCTTAAAAACTTAATTTCAATTCCTCGAAAAAAAACAATTA